CCCCAAAACCCCAAAACCCCAAAACCCCAAAACCCCAAAACCCCACTTAGAACATCATTTTAAAATTATAATGGAGAAGTCAAGATGGGGTGTGAATTCTGATAAGATCAATTACGTCCTCAAACCTATCACCAGAGAGAAAACTATTCGGAATACTAAGTCTAGAAAAAGGCCCAATAAGATCACTTTTCAAGAAAAGAGAGTTGATTCTTCCTCCTTCACTAGCAGTGTGAGGTCAACAAAAGAGATTGGTAAAGGTTATAAATCAACTTACGACTGTAAGAAATACCAACTCGTGCCGATAATATCAGAGATTAGGAAGAATAGGATCACTGAACTGATATCTGGCTTGAAGAGCATGGCTGTAGATATCCAAGAGTTTATTACAACAGAAGCTGAGATCCTAAAAAGGCATAATACTGATATTTTAAAATAACCCGAATTTTAAATCAAAATTGACTAAATTATGAACTGCATCGGAGGAAGTTAAAGAAGATATTGACTCAGTGCTTAGCTTTGCCTCACTAAGCTGTAGTAAAGAAGATTTTGACGAGAGGCTAACCCAATTCTTGGAGATTACAGATTCCACTAAGCTTAAAGCTTCGAAAATTCTCTTCCAAGTAATTCTTGTACTAGAGATATTGATCAACAAAATGGTATCTATTGAGAAATTTAAGTGCATGCATCTGATCTCTAAGCTTAGCCTTCAAGGAGAGGATGTTAATATCTACCTTGAGAAGTACCATGTCACCAACCATTTCACTGGGAAGGGAACTTCCTTGTATTTTGAGCTTCTGAACCAGCTGATTGCACTCAAATCAGTTCCTGTTGTTAAGGTAAAGAAAGAAGAAATAAAAAATCCAGCACTTCATATCTCTGGTTCATTTAAAGATTACATTAGGCAACAAGTGGATTGAAAAATTACGAAAGAATTCTCTGATTATATATGCTCGACCTTTAGTCAAACTCAGAAAGATTTGATGGCTAATCAAGATGAGCAGGCACAAACTCATCAGGAAGAAATAAATAGTCTCACACAGAAGAATATGCAACTAGAATCAAAGATTAAGGACTTAACTTCCAAAATTTTTAAGGTAGATACTCAAAACTCCAGTCTTCATCAAGAAATTTCTCAACTTCAGAGTGAAAACCAAAAAGGCGTATTTACCCTGAGCCAATGTGACCAGAAAGATGATGAAATTGAGAGACTCAAATCTGAGCTGCAGGTCTGTAAATTTACCATAGACTCATTAAATGCCAATATTGCTGATCTTGAACAGAAAACTTCTGAGGGTTACAAGACTATTCAGAGCTTGAATTCCAAAATAGAGAGCCTTAGCCAGGAAATCATCCAAAAAGATGAAGAAATTGCTACTATGAAATTTAAAGCTGCTTCTGATAAGGAACTTGAAAGGCTAAAAGTTATGGTCAATGAGCTCCGCAAGGAGAACGATTCTCACATCGAACAGAATACAGAACTAAGGTCTTCAGTAATCCAGATCAACCAGAAGCTTTCTGAGAAGGAGAAAACCTTATTTGAAATGGTATCTAGATGTAATAAATCTGAAAATAAGTTCAAGGAATTTCTGAAGAATAATGATCCCTCACAGAGCATCAATAAATCAGACTATGATGCCTTAAAGGATCAATTACACCAGGAATCTGCCAAATGTATGACATTAGAGTCAGAGATTGAAACCTATAAGGAGAATTTAAAAAGCTCTGATATGGTAAAGAACCTGCAGAAAGATGAAATAAAGTCTCTGAAGAACACTCTTAGAGAATTCACCAGTTTCAAGTACGATGATCTTGATGATACCTATGAAGCTGCTCTTAAATCTGAATTCGATAGAATGAAGGTAGCCTTTGAAGCTAGGATCCGTAAACTACAGGTAAAGACTCTTTCCCTTATGTTGATCCCTTAATTATTTCTTTAGTCAGAACTTGAGTCACAAAGGAAAGAAATGTCTAGTAAGAATATACAGAATAATAAGACTATTCTTGACTTGAAAGATACCGTACAGAGGCTTACCAAAAGAATGACAAAGCTAAGGTAAAATATCTGAGAATTTCAATATTTTGAAAAATTTAGGGGTTTTGGGGTTTTGGGGTTTTGGGGTTTTGGGG